GGGCGAAACGGCCGTCTGGTGCTTTTCTGGACAGCTGGTCGACATATCTGAATTGTCGGCTGATTGCGACGAACAAAAATACGTGTTAGGTATGTCTGATCACCGCTTACCTAAGAGGGCCTTGTTTAGTCTGCCAGGTGTAGGATGGCATGAGGCTAGAGATGTACAGAAGTTGACTTGGCAGCGGGAAATGAAGTCACTGACGACCAAATGGGTGCCGTTGGTCCGTCTCGTCTTCCGGGTTGAAGTCCATGTGACTTGCCTTGTGTTTGGCTCGAGACGTTACAGGATATGGCTCACAACCGACACCAGTGGCATGTCTGGTGCGGTCTCCTAGTCAGATTGCCTGTTTAAAGTGTGTGTTAGTGCTGACTTATCTGTGGGGTAATGATTGATTATGACGCGGGGCAGTGGAAGCCGCAAGGAGGCTGTCTCGCCGATGCTGCCATATCTTTGCACGATAGCCAGCTGTTTGTGACGGTATGTTGTTAACACAAGGTGTAGGCGCCTTGACCCTGAATGTTTGCTTGGGGCATTAATGTTTTCAGGTAAGTCCCCTTTCTCTCCTTATTCTTTATTTCATAGGTCATCATGGTTGTATGGCAGTGAAGTATCAGTTTAAATGGCTGATGTACTGCTGTTGATGATGATGCGCTCACAGCAACGGCACACACAAGAGCGTGATCGGAGTTCACGCTCGTGCTCCAAATCGAACGATAGTTTTGTACGTAGCCTCTCCAGCGGTAACTGATCGCAACGTGATCGATTTGCGTCCATGGCTGGTGGGCGCCAAGTCACAATTTTGTGAGTGCTGTGCCAAAAAGTAGTGCTCACGCGAAAGAGACGAGCATCTTTATACAGGTGTAGCAACCGCTCACTGTTATCATTACGAGAGCCTATACCATGTTGACCGCCCAGATGAAGCTCATCAGAAGACAATTTTATGACTAAGGCGTTCAGATCACCAGCAAGCACCACGGTATCCGTACCATTTCTGTAATGATAGTGATCGTTCAGTTGATGATAGAAATCATCTTTCACTGAATCAGTGCTAGTTTGTGGGGGCGTAGGACGCAATGACAAACACGCACCGTTTGTCCCCGCAATGACTTCGTAGCCTGGAATGAGCCAGGCAATATAACTGCGCATATCCGGCTGTTCAATGGGATCCGACCGATCAGGGCAGCTACAGCCAGGGGACTCAAAACAATGCGCACGCCGGCTTGACCGGCATTTGAAGCTGCGTCATCTCCAGACAGGCGCAATAAGAATGTGCCGCCAGTGTTGCATGCGGGCGATCGCAGGGTAAGCACGGAGCTCGGATCCTGCAAGCAGGTTTCCGATAAACATCAAATATCGATCGATAGGGTCTCTAGTGTTCGGGCAAATGCTGCCTGTTGGCCAATCTGCAACGAACTGTGCAAGTTGAGGCATGTCAGCCTTAGCGAGGATCGAGGACTCCAAAGAGAAATGGACGAACTGACGTTTTCCGCTTGGTTGAACATGGACTTGTCGACTGGACTGGAGCGGTGCCCTGCGAGTGCGTGTGGGCTGAAACTAGAAGACAAATGACTATTGGAGCAAGTCGGGGTGGGCCAAAGAATTGAGGATTGAAAACAAGGGGAATAAAAGTGAAGTTGGAGCGGGAAGATAAAGAAGAAAAAGCGCAAGAGGGGGAATAAGAAGACGATAAAGTCTGAGCAGTAGTATGCACACACCTATCCACCATGGTCGATGCAGCGGATAGGGCGCTGTTTATTATCCTCCGCGACAGGCAGAGCAGTAAGCGACTGTCTGAAGAGAAAGTCATTGAGTTGTATTGTGTGGGCAGGATACTGTCAAATTTCCCAGGCCTAGACAGAAGAACGATCAGGTTTTTCAACCAAAGCCTTTGGTTCAAAAACCTGACCACAAGACAGCGGGATTTTGGCACTGGACTACAGTGAGCCCGTTTTATGGAGTAAGGAGCCACCTTCACTCCAACTCCCAACCTGGGGAGCCAAGAGATTGAGTTTGTCTGGCCTCTATCCTTTGGCCAATCGGTATGAGTGGCCCTGAAAGCACAGCTCAATAGACCATTGAGACACACAAACCATCACATCATGTTAAGGTCTAGTCTCGTCGGGATGGAGAATAGCCTCGTACGAGCTAAGATTATTGAAAACAAATGAGACCCGGACCAGACGAACAACTTTCATCGCTGCTGAGCGGTTTATGCGACTGATCTTATAGTATTACTAAACCATGTGCAGTGTAGCGGACGATTATCATCAAACTGATGATCATCACGAGTAACGGTTGCCCCCTTATTTCATCTCGTCCGCAGTATACCTTCTGTTAGGTTGCAAAATGTCAGCCTTAGAGCAGCAGAATGGCTAGCTCTTCTTGGGTTCGTCTTGTTTGATACGCAAGCGTCGGTGAACAGGCTGACATACAGTACTGCATGTTTCGGTAGGTGTTTCGCATCTTCAAAGCACACACCAGCAGTTTCCCAAAGTAGCCAAAAGATTCCCGAAGTGGCGGATCGGTTGACTTGTCTAGCTAGTCATGACACCTCTAGTGACTACCGTAACGAAGAAGCTAGTGCAAAGATTGGTAGGGCTTATGTATTTTAAAACATAGGAATTTATGGTAACAGAAGAGCTCAAGATAAGATGTGCTGCGCAATGTTGTGACCAGTTTTGATGTTTAGATCAAAACCAGGGCCAAAGAGGCTGATAGACTTTAACCATAGTTGCTTAAGAAGCACTTCGCATGTCCGGTGGGTGAACAGAATGATGTCCACCAGTTGATGCTCGACAGTAGCCTCTCTGGAGCTACTTTGGAAGATCAGTTGTCTAGGTCATGCATCTCGCATATACGCCGAACGACAGTCTCAAAGTGCATGTTTACCAACAATGAACCCAGTTAGACGAAAAACAGATGTGGCCAGTTGATGATATGGCAAGAAGGACTGGAGAAGCTGACTAAAAGACTGATTCGGGTTGAGGTGTGCCATCTTCGTGAACGGGACCACAATGATTAGCAGAGGCTCTATGCGGCATGACACAGGTGATTCGTGTGAATTCGGACTGCTGTCTCCAAGTTCCAATGTTTCCACTTAATGAGAACAAATGAACTGAGCTGAACTCATGAGTATGTAAGCGCGCAATCACATATTACAAACACCCTTGCACACACTGGGACCGTATTCAAAGTAGATGGAAATTGGGTGTTGCCCACCCGAAAACACTGCACAACCACGACGCGTTTCGACGTAATTTCATCTCATCAGGTGGAGAGAGCAGGCCTCGATCCCGCGACCATTGGAATAGTAGCCGAAACCACTACCACTCTGGCTACCGGGTCATGGTGGGCAACGCTTTTGGCACAACGGTAAATGGTCGCGGGATCGAGGCCTGCTGTCTCCACCTGATGAGATGAAATTACATCGAAACGCGTCGTGGTTGTGCAGTGTTTTCGGGTGCGCAACACCCAATTTCCATCTACTTTGAATATGGTCCCAGTGATCGCAGTGACTAAGGTTCATTTCAATGTGCATCACAGTCCATTACATTGAGGTTGCGTGTCGAAATCCAATCACACAACGTGTAGTCCAAACTTGACCCTCCAATTAGTCATATACCGTTGTGCCAAAAAGCGTTGCCCACCGTGACCCGGTAGCCAAAGTGGTAGTGGTGTGGGCTACTATTCCAATGGTCGCGCGATCGAGGCCTGCTGTCTCCACCTGATGAGATGAAATTACATCGAAACGCGTCGTGGTTGTGCAGTGTTTTCGGGTGGGCAACACCCAATTTCCATCTACTTTGAATATGGTCCCAGTGATCGCAGTGCCTAGGGTTCATTTCAATGTGAATCACAGTCCATTACATTGAGATTGCGTGTCGCAATCCAATCACACAACGTGTAGTCCAAACTTGACCCTCCAACCGTTGCATACAGTTTAAGCGCACGGGGTGTCACGTAATCCAATCTCATTATGAACCGGCGAACTTACCGCCGGTACACCTGTTTGGCTGACGAACAGGAGCGCTGTGGTTAAAAGCGACAGTGCAGACTCGAAGCAATGAAGGTCTAGTCCTTTCGGAGAAGAGTACGGAGTCGATAACAAGGCCCACGGGAACTGTTATAGTGTTCCCATGGTGATACCAACAGAATCTGAGATATCGTCTAGTAGAACCATGCTAGGTGAAAATAATTGACAATTATGTTGCCCTGAATGGACGTAGGGCAGAGTTGAGATATAACTATTCCGTAGAGCATTGCAGGTTTTAGATACCCAGTTGTGCACCACCGATTTTTAGACAAAAGTCCTTTAAAAGTACCAGCCATGATCCGGGTGAAGAACTGTGGCAGATCCCGTCGTCATATAAAGAAACGCAAGAGAATGACAAAGGAAGTAAAGTACAAGGTCAGTTTGGAGAGAACTAAGAGTCTAGCAAAGTGAAACGAATGCAAAAACGCCTATAATCTCGTGGGTTTACAATGTACTATGAGGTTTTAAGCAAAAGCGTGACCAAATTTGAGGCTTTGACCGAGAAAGTGACCCGCATCATTTCGACTTAGTCTTTCGGTACATTCCGCAACCCTTCATAGCTGTCATCCACTGCTTACTAGCAATCAAGAGTGGCATCAGTAAACAATGTAAACTGCAAATGCGCACGACATGACCTAGGTGGTACAGGGAGCAACGAGGATGGTGGATATTCCGATTGGTCTGCCCCTGAACAGAAGCAGTGAGTATCACGTGCAGAACCAAAAAAGCTGCTCTATGCAAACGCTTGGTGCGTGTGGTGGAACAGTGAGTGCAGTTCAGTAGCCCAATCGTAATTTGTTTCATCAGTCGAACGACCGCACAACCAACTGATTCAAGGCAACACAATATCTGATGAGCTATCGATTTTTTAACCATATGGATCTTGGGCCCATGCGTTAAGCTAGAGTAACGTGATTGAATGTGGTCAGGAAGAAAAAGATAGCATCAACACGAAGCAAAATACCGTGTGGTTATTGATGTAGACATCTTCTTCATATCGGGACTTGACGGTGGGCTTTTCTACGCCTTTGATTACTCGGCCGGTAGGTGAATATTCGGCATAGGTCTCCCACTGACCGAGAAGAAGCTCGCGCGGGATTGGCTCCAGATGCTCACGCCCACCGTAGTGATCCATAATTTCTTGACGAATTTTCGACTGAACATCCTCCTTAGCTTTTGCCACTTTTTTGGATAAAAGTTCCAAGCGGGTCGGATCCGCCTGCAAAATGGGAAATGGACAATGAGCAGTTCAAATGACAATGAGAGTAGGTGTTAGGAAAAGAAAACGCGGAAGAGCATTGGGTTAATGGACGTTGCATGCACAGATGGAATGGTACAAAGTGCCCAGCATACCAAGAGTGTGCTGGTCAACTTTTAAATAGAGTGGTTGATGAGGCACGATAAGAGCGAGAAAACATTCCAATTGCTAAAGACAGCACTCGAGAAAATATGATGGCACAAACAACCGCAATGCGTAGGTACAATGTAACTATGGTGGAGCGATATCAAGGCTGGAGAGCAATGGTGTCAAAGTGCCATGCAAGGTTGAACCGAGGCAAATAGTGTGCCAGCATCGGGAGGATGGGTGAAAGTGTTACCGTTCAAAAATCCTATTCATAATTAAGTAAATACAGGTCCATTCCCATAAAGAGGACTCCTGTGGGACAACTTCAAGCACGACCTACGCGCGTATCAATGGAAACAAAGAGAGCCCAATTCACACAATAGACTAGACACCCATGCAAAAAGCGTCATCTAACTAATTAGATGTGAGGTATATGGGACAGTGAGTGAAGGAATCAAAAAATTAGGAAACCGGTGTCTATTAATAAGAAGTGTAAGTTTACATTCGCAGCCGTTCAACCCGCGAGCGCATAAATTGATTAGGTGACATTGGACAGGCGCACTCAACTCAATCTAAGGTTACGGAGATGAGGGGTGAACGCATATGAATGACGAAACCCACTTGCAAATGAACATCAAGACCAAGCTTGTTGTGCATTTCCCAAGCGAACACCTGACTCCGGACCATATCCTGCACTTCACCATCATAACGAACGAAATTGTCCCCAGCAAAAGGCACCTCAGATTCGGGTTTTCCGGTACCTTCGAAAGGATTCTCACGCATAGCACGTGTCTTCGGATCGTAGTAAGCGCTATTCGGATCCAAGTTGAAGAGATACTTAGCGGTGTCCTCGCGAATACGCAGATTTCGGATGGACTGTCGATGTTTGCTGTCAAATTTCTGTCCAGGCATATCGAGTTCGTCCCCATACCGATCCCCATCCTCCATATCCAGATCGCCGTCCTCATCGAGGGCTGGTTTTGCTGCAGAGGCAGCAGGTTCTTCCTTGAGTGATGAAAAAAGGATAATAAAAACGAACGTGAGATCTTTTACAACCTGGAAGACAGGAGGCAAATGCACCATTGTAAACATAACAAAAGAGTTGGCCATGACAGGGCAGAAGCTACAGACGAGTTGTCATGGAAAATAAATTCAGTAAAAAATGCAAATAACTTAAAAATCATGGCCAATTTTTTTGAGAAGCGCCAAGATTTTTCCTAGTCATCAGCTCTCTAGTGTCAAGCAAACAGCAAAAGAAGGCGAATAGCCTGCGAAGTAGCGTAACACCGAAGAGAAAAAGTGTCTGCTGTATGTGACTATACCACTGGCAGGCAAAGTTATGCAACAGGGTTCAGAGGTTATAGCAAACACAAATTAATCAAATGAACATTTGGACAAAGAAAATCGCTGTATGTGTGGAGTTGTGGTGGTTTGAATATCCTATAGTGGGGTCAGTCAAGCGAGCTTTTAAAGCACTGAGTTTGATATGGCAGGTCACGGAGCTAAATGGCGAGGACGATGAAGAAATTAAAAATAGAAAACCAATCGCCAGCAAAGCACTCAAGATAGATGATTATCAAAACTGATAACGCGATCCGCTGCAGGCAAAAGAATCATACATAAGCAAGTACATTGCGCCAACGCATCGCTACCATGTGGTCACCAGTAGTCGACAGCGAACTAGGGATAAATCCGGGTTACTCGCGAAAAAGTTCACCTGAATCCACGATCCATGAATTGCATCCTCTATATATATATATATATATATATATATATATATATATATATATATATATATATATATATATATATATATATAGGCTGCAATTCATGGATCGTGGATTGAGGTACCATTTTAATAGTCCGTGACTTCATTTCCGCTGCCAAATCAATGATCGCCCCGTGGGATTTCATGCCCTCAATAGATCTGGCATGTGGTGGAGAGGTGCATGCAACACATGCCCAAACAAATGCAATGTATTCGGAAAAATTTGCATATCAAGGCAATCATCAATACTCGTACTCGCCTGTACATCTCATCGTTGCGGATAAGCTAGTGTTATCAACAAGAGCGATGTCCGCGAACAGCATTGATGAAAGACTTGGATGTGTTCCAGATACTCAAGTCATGAGAGTCAAATCTCAACCCTGTACAGGAGAACCAACGGCCTTGTGGCCGAGTACAGAGAGTAGTTAAGATAGCGTGATTTCCTCCCCTCTAGTACCAAAGATATTGTAGAGCTATGGAGCCCGTTCTGGCGTTTGCAAAACGTGAATTATCTCCGACTGTCAAATGCCAGTGGCTGACAAGGCAGATACCGGGACAGGTATGTTGATCAAATAGCTCTTGTTCTTTGTTATCAAGAAGCAAAGGACTAGTAGGTAAATGGTTGTCCTTGAAAACCAGTTTGAAGATGCAAATCGCATACGAAAGCATGGTTCATTGTGTCACCTCTTGAGTGTCAAAATGCAAGACGATATCGTCAACGCAAACTAGATTAACTTTCACCCGAAATGAAACGTTCCACAATGGAGTCCACAGTAAAATCTAGCAGAGATTAGAAAACGGGACAAGTGTGATGAACGCTTTCTGACAGAAGGGATCCGACAATTAGCTGTTGATCCTGAAACAGCATAATGTTCACACAGTTTATAGGAGCAGCATTTCAAACATAATGGGGCTGACGATTGAGCTGAATTCGTAGAGGATAGGCATAGTGCGTCTGAGATACATGTAACGCTGCATTAGTAATTATCGAAGTGTAAAGACAATCTGTACAGAACCGAACCTGCCGGAAACGTTTCCGTTTTCTTGTTCGGAACCCGGTTCACAAATAGGGCGGGGGATGAGCACCATTGTGGTTGTAAAACTGATGTTGTCCTTTATCAGAGACTACTACTGTTGAGAGTTGCTACAAGCATCGATTCGCCCTATTTGGGCTTTACTATCTTTGTCCACATCAACACTGTACTTATATGGTGGTTGTGCAAGAGAACCCGGGACGTCAGTGCGGAGACTGTTGAAAGTTGTCGTATTATTCCGAACATTAGGTTTAGGCGAGTCTCCACATCCAACAAGCATTGTTCACTTGCACACGTTGAACGCGAAGCGAATCAGGTGTAGGAAGCTAACTGAACTATCCCTCCTACTGATCTGCTCAATTAGTTAGAAGGCGTTCCTTAGTGTGAAGTGGGACGCCAGTGCTTTCCTTGATTTGCAAAATGACGGATCATTTCCTGCGATCCGTAGATAAAGCGATGAAAGGTAGTTGAAGTTGTCCTCAAATCCCGCTATCATACTATGAGCACGATCGGTCCGCTGAGGTTCCAGGTTTGTTTTGGTCGGCACTCGACAACATGTCCCACCGCGTTATGCCTCAGACGCGGCAACGCCCAGTCAAACTGATGCAAGCCCGCCAACTCTCACTCGCATCTGACCTTGGTCGAAAGTGCGAAATCTACTCTGGTCATGAAACGTGAATTTTTCAAGCTCTTCAAAGGCTGTATGTGTAAGATCTCAAACAGATCTAATGGGTCCTTAAAATCACACTCCCGAACTGGACGAGCGTGGAGTCCTTCAAGCGAACCTCCATATCCCCCACTGCCTTGTGGGTTAGACTGTTGAGTCAAAGGCTATAGGAAGAGCACTTCGAATAACACTCCTCCTTCGGAATGGACAGCGAAGAAGATCATTTGCCCTCTCGACCCCATTGACAATACTTCCTTTTTTCTCTCCCCTAACTATGTTCATCGTCTACTGGGCAAGTGACATTCACTGACCTCGTAGCTGTTGTCATCAATACATTAAACTCGTCACTCAAACTTCAAGTCTTCTTTGACATTGGTTCGTTTAACGGCCGCATTTTGGGTCAGATCGGTCAACAGAAAGCACTGACTCTCACTTTTCACTCTCTTGGTATATGTGATATATCGCCAAAACGCGGGTTCCAGATAACAGCGTCATGATGGATGTCCGACTCTCTGATTTCGAATTTGTCGACAATGACTACACACTTCACATCTTTGGAGATACATAATCAGTGCCTTAAGATATTGATGGTGTTGATACCGGCATCGCGCTGAGGAAACATGCTGAAGGCAATCTACTCGAGTGGATACCGGTGAACAGCCGCAGTTGCGTGGTTCGACTTCGAACCTAAAATGCGGTTCATAAGCCCAGTCCAAAGACAAGGTGCTTTTCATCGCATCCGTTTACACCCTATTTATCAAAGTTCGGAGGGTATCAAAGATACTTTTTTTCATCAGCTCTCCCCTCTACTCCGTATGGCGAAAAAAAGACATCATGATTGTTGCCGGTGACTTGAATGGACAAGTGGGTCGTTCTTTCGACTTTGAACAACACTTGGAAGACCGCTTCGGAGTTCATGCACATTGAACAGACAATGATGAGACATTCCTGTAGCTGCGTGGCGACCACAATCCTTATCTTACCAGACCTGCTTTCGAGCAAAAGCGCTCACATCATGTCACCGGGAGCCAACTGAATTTCTCCATGACCATAGTGACACTGGCAACAGATGGTGCACATCGGTCCAAGACTGTCGGTCAATTTAGAGTAAGTACCTGGATTATGACTTTGTTCCGGAGTGCTCACGAGTAACGCTTACTTTTTCGGCTTCAACGAAGCGTGCGAATTCTGAGCTTCCTACCTGGAACCTGGACTTAGTTCGTAACATAGCGATACCGCGGCGAATCGACCCATCAATTGCCAATAACAAATAAGGTTGGTAAGCCGAATGTCAGCTGGAAGTGTCAAGCCTACCATGAAGAATGGTATAGGCTCCTGATATAACCAGGTTGACTCGCCCTATATGTGAGTGGATTTCGGAAGCATTCATCAGTTTGATCAAAGCAAGGAAACAGGTTCTTGTGGGTACTGAGTTTCAATGTGTCTGTAACGCGTTGTAATGACGACTTGTAAAAAGTCTTCGAATTGACCAGGAACGTTGGTGTGTGATAGGAGCCCGTGAGATGGAAAATGCTAGTGCGAATGGGAACAATCGAGTATTGTTTCAATCGAACCGGAACAAGGGTTCAAGATAGCCTTCAGCTAGTGAGGCACTGGACAGTTGATCCGTTCCAAGCCGCAACGACTAATCTGTTGGGTGTAAAATTTTGAAAAGCAGTTCAGCAAGACTGCCACAACATAGCCACCTGCCGAATCCCCTGAAGCACTTTAATATAAATTCGATATGAAGTAGCTGCGTTGAAACAAAACAAGGCTTCTGAACTCGACGATCCTCCTGCACTTTTGTTGAAAGATGGAGGTCACTCACTGTTGACTGGGTTTCCGTACTATGCAACACTATTTTGGACGCTGAAGTAATATCGTCACATAAGCATCAGCTGATTGTCATCCCCATCTTCAAAAATTGTTAGCGGACTTCGTGGGAAAAATCCACGAGTTATCCTTATTTCCACCGCCTCTAAACTATCACGGGTATTATTATTCGACGACTTAATGGTACTTGTGAGAACCGAATCAATGAAAACCCGGTTGGCTTCCGTTCTGCTCGTGGCTGAATTGACCACACAGACGACCGATAATGTTGGCTTTCTTTAATCTTGAAGTCAGTTTGATTAGGTCGAACGTGCCCATTTGTGACACCACCTATCTGTGAAACGCAGTCAGGGAAACTTCACTCCATCTGCAAGTCTGTCTACTGTGACTCGTGATGTTGGATCAAGGTTTATGAAAAACTGTCTCCTGAGTTCCCCACGACAAG